GAGGGGGCATACGCAGTAAGGAAGCTGCGGAGCAACGATACGGAGGTGTTCGTGCAGTCGGTCTCCCAGCGAGACGCGGCCTTGAGTATGGCGCAGCCAGAGGTGTTCTGCATCTTGAAGCAGGATTATCCTGTTGAGATTTTGGGGTTCCCGTTGGGGACATTTATAAGAGGAGGTAAAAATCCAAATAACGGCGAGTTCACAAACCAAGTTGAGGCGGAAACAAAAGTTCGGATACCCGAATTAAAAATCAACAGGGTGAGATGACTCTTCGACGGAAAAGAGCACTGATGGATGGGAGCTAACGGCCATACTCGAGGGTCAATCGTCGCGAGTCTGCCGACAGAGGCACTTCAACGCGAAGTGATAAGAAACGGCATTGTATACAACTCAATGCTGTACACGGCCCAGCTCTGGTCATCCCGAGCGCAAATAAAGCAGTGCTTCAACAGCTGTCAATGGGGGCATACCCAAGCCTCGTGCAATAAGGTAAGGAGATGTGGTGAGTGCGCGGGCACTCATCAGACCAGAGACTGTCCGAGGAAGTCGGTACTTTGCTGGAACTGCGGCAAGGACCATAGATCGTGGCAGAAGGGGGCGTGTCAAAACTTCGAGTCACACAAGGCTAGCGTGCAACGGGCACGGTATAAAAAAATGGAGAGAACGGCGTGATTTAGGAAAGGAGAATCCAGACCACCGGCATCTATACCAACCACGGTAAAACCAATAGACGACCAAGGGTTGACACTGGTGTCCCACCAAAAGCCGGAGGTAATCAAGGGAGGGCCAGGACACCCTCGCAGACAACTCCTGGTCAATCCCCTACCACAAGTATTTGGATCATCTAGGTCAAGTTCAAGACCATAGTCGCCTCCTCTCAGCACGCGAGAGCAGGGAAATAGTGGCGAGGTACAACACAATTTTAGCCGGTTCTGTCTCGGCTCAAGGCCAATTGCACATCCTGTAGGTAACGAAGGGCTATAGGCATAAAAAATTTAATAGAGGGATGGAGTTTTTGTCGTAATGGTTTCCCCCTCATGTAAATATTTAGATAGGTTCATAGCCACTTGCATGGGCCCTCAGGGCGCCAAATCGAGTTAGATGGATTCAAATTCAATCGCATTTCCTTCTATTGCAGTCACCATGTTGCCCCTGGGATATGGCAGTAGCTTTCGCTTTCGCCCGGTAGACAATAAAAATATTTCAATCCATTACTGGTAGATTAGCAACTTGATGTGTAGACTATTTTTGTGCCCTTTGGCCAGATGGCGATGTGGTATGGGTAATAACTCTGAAAGAGTTATAGTCCAATGTGGGTTTCGCAGTCTTTTCTATGAGAGCTGAGTTTATCCACTCCGAGGTATAGGTGATGAGAAGAATCTATCGGGAGCTCAAAGAGTATTATGATTATTGATTCTAGTTGTAGCTTAGGCACACGTCTTTCCCTCCCTACTCAAACATTATCTTCATAATCCTCGCCAGGCCAATTAGTTTTCATTGGGTAAGCTTTTTTTAATGCATTTTCATGTGCAAATACCACTGTAAGATCTGCATGTCCTATATAGTCATAGACCCAGAAAGGACAATAAAATGAATTAATAATTAATAACCACTGTATGCCTTGGGCATAATAAATAACGTTCATGATGGGGGACTATTCCCAACACCCGTCATGGTGTCCCATACAAACCTCCAGCTCTCACTGTAGAGTCTGCAGAGCCGAGCTTGGGTATCACCTTCGTTCTCACTTCGATGAGGATTCCCAATCGCTTCCGCGGTCTGTAACATCATCATCTCTCAACACATCCTCTATCACCACTATCATGAGGCTAACCACGATCAGATTAGATGGTAGGGTTAGAGCCCTTCTTATTACCAGCCCTTGATCATGGAGGAAAAGCCATCCGATGAGTTTCCGGAGCATACCCAGCACCCGATACGGCGATGGCGGATTGGATCAAGCCGGCCTCGACTGTTACAAAGAAGGGACATATAGATGAATATGCGCACCTCATATGGTCCCGGTGTCTAGGCCTCGCCTGGCTGGGGCTGCAGGTTTTTTGAGACTTTTTCCTGCGCACGCAGTGTCCATTGCTACCATTTTTTTGGGGGGTAGAGGGTTCCGTGGAAAAGGTGGCCGAATTCCACGGGTAAACACTGAGCCGAATGGCTATTCATCAAGGGGAATATATCAATGAACTTTCAAGTAATAAAAGAGGCAAGGAGCACTGTAAAAGGTGTGGCCTGGGTCAAAGAGGATCCCGACGTGCTAGAAGGTCTAAGTCTCAAGTATTACAATAAATATACATATCTCTCTCTCTTTTAGTGCTCAGCGGGCCGACATCTTCAAAAGGTTCAGGTGATTGGCTTTCTTTTCAAATCTAGTCCCAAAGTAGGTAGTAGAAGAGCCGCGCATCCAGTACCTCTTGTGGTTTTCCCCGGCTGCAACACACCCGCATAACGTCATCGTTTCGCCGGCCAGAAATTCGAGATATCGAAGAGCAAAAGTCTCTTCAGTTTAAGAGCAAATAAGACCTGTGAGGGTAGCGTTATAGGTACTAGTGACCGCACCCAACACTTGCATCTCAAATGGATATGAATTACAATGTGTGGCGTTTCTGGTTACAGATGAGATAACAGGGAGGAAATGGACTACTAAGAGTAACAAACCCTAAAAAATCCACCGGAATCTTATCAGGACTAAAAGTAGTAATGAAGTTCAGATAAGAAGTGAGCACATTGGTCTCAACTCTCATCTGTATCGAAGGAAAGTCCCCGAAGTCATTAATCTAAAATTTTAATGTGGATGTCCGTCTCAAAATGTGAAACATATGGTCTTGGCGTGTCATCAGTGGGCAATGGGAAAGGGAGAGGTACTTCGAAAGGCGAGAGATAGGTCCTTTACGGCAGTAGTGTTCAGCCCAGATGAAATGGATCCTGGCAAAAGACTGGTTTGAACAATTCCGTCTAGCAGGAGAAATCGTAATTGCATTGGACGAGAAGATGAGACGATGTGGACAGGGATCTGACGAATTCCACACTGTATGAACTGTGTAAACACACTTCTTGTACTAAACCTGGAAAAACCAATCTACACGAGACAGACAGTTTTGTGGAGTTTTTGCCGATTTTGGTTTCCTCCCATGTAAATATCATAGACAGATATACCTGAAAGTGCTAAATGAACTCAAAACAAATTGCAATTTATGAGCAATCATGTACGTTTGTGTATGCTTGTGTTTATTGTACTACTTGAGTCATAGACTATCTAGCACGTCGGGATCCTCTTTGACCCAGGCCACACCTTGTACAGTGCTCCTTGCCGCTCATGTTTCTTGAAAGTTCATTGATGTATTGCCCGTGATGAATAGCCATTCGGCTCAGTGTTTACCCGTGGAATCCCGCCACCTTTTCCACGGAACCTTCTGCCCAAAATAAATCAAAAAAAATTGGTAGCAATGGACACTGCGTGCGCAGGAAAAAGTCTCAAAAAACCTGCAGCCCTAGCTAGGCGAGGCCTAGACACCGGGACCATATGAGGTGCGCATATTCATCTATATGTCCCTTCTTTGTAACAGTCGAGGCCGGCTTGATCCAATCCGCCATCGCCGTATCGGGTGCTGGGTATGCTCCGGAAACTCATCGGATGGCTTTTCCTCCATGATCAAGGGTTGGTAATAAGAAGGGCTCTAACCCTACCATCTAATCTGATCGTGGTTAGCCTCATGATAGTGGTGATAGAGGATGTGTTGAGAGATGATGATGTTACAGACCGCGGAAGCGATTGGGAATCCTCATCGAAGTGAGGACGAAGGTGGTACTCAATCTCGGCTCTGCAGACTCTACAGTGAGAGCTGGAGGTTGGTATGGGACACCGTTGACAGTTGATGAAAATATTACCCCCGCTGAGCACTGAAGACTTGCGTGTGACTAAGGAAAGTCAAACTCAGCTTTTGTAGCCCTCTATCCGAACGTTATGTTGAAATGTCAGAAAAGTCTGGACTGAATGCGTTTGCAGTACAGTAGGCTAGCACTACTTCCCTGAGCACGTATATGATAATAGAGAGTTCCATAGACCCATCGATATTAGAAGTTCTAGCTTATTAGCTGAAACTGTAGTCTTGGCACATACTGACGCCCTAGTCTAAAACTCTTGAAACTTCATTACTAGCCTGACCGTAACTGATTTCTTCCATCATTTTTTCCACGTCGTAGCTTTCTATACTCCCTCAATGTGTAGAGCTCTATTACAGCTACTTCCCCCATAATCCAAAAAACCAAGCGTTGTATTTCACGACTGATTTTTCTCCTAGAAGTTAAACGTGGCATAGTAATTCGATAGTGGAGATGGTTGATTGATGAGGGAAACTTCTGTTTTTACTTGCAGTAACTGATTGATAGGTTGATATCGCGAGGTTACTTGTGATGAGGTTGGATTGTAGGTCTCATGTTAGATAGGTTGGACAGTCCATGATGAGAAGTCATCGATTTTAATTCTACTAATTCTTGCTTTTGACGTTGATTTTGATGAGGTTGTTTTTGGTTATCCTAGATATGTAAATGGTGCTGAGCAATTACACAAGCACCGCTTGAAAGATAGAGATAACGGCTTTGTAGGCTAGCAATTAGGTTAATTAGGTCTGCGGGATGATTCATTTCGCACTTGTGGTTACTTCTCGTCGCTATGGGCTATGTCACGAGATTCTCTTCACCGGAAGGCTTTATCTGATGTATGTCAGATTTTCATCACTCTCCGTTTCCACAACATTGCTATCTTATTGGTTGCATAAATGAAATCGAACTCATCAACTTAATTCTCATGCTAGATCAATATACCGGCACCTTTCCTGACACTAAAAATGAAGAGGCAAGTCCCAGAATCTGTAGGAACTGACAGTTTTGGGGACATCCAAGGTGTGGTGAAGGTTCAAATTTGCTCCAGTGTAGTGGTTTATTATAGAAATTTTTAACATTGTTAAGCAGTTATTATTTACTCCGTGTTACTCGTCTTTTACAATACTTGCTTTCAAAGCCTTTGCGCCACGTAGCTTTGCCTCTGGAGCATTTTTCTTAGGTTTCTGAGCTTGGCGTAGAGCAGATGCGCGAGCAATAGCCTCAACTCTGAGGTCAGATCTGTAGCCGAATTTGACGGTGGTATTCACAACACCTTTGTATGTCCTGTAGGCAAGATTAACTCAAGTCAGTAGACCGAGAAAATTTAAAATTCTTACTTTCTTGTAGATTTATGGCCCCCAAAAGTTGTCTTTGATAAGGCACTCGCTGGTTTCTGCGAGTGTTTGGGCTTTTTGGTGACTAAAGTTACGCCCCCTTTGTCTCCTTCAGCCGGTAAAATCCCGACAGCCTAATTACTGTTAACTTCTGCTACTCCAATTTGATTCAGTCATCGTCCTGGTTTCACATACCTTGTCATTGACAAATCCTGCGTACTGTCTGAATGTCAGCCCCTGTCTCACTTGTTTGGCACATAGATAGCATTACTTTCCGAGAATGAACGTTCTTTAAATTGAGAGGATCACGAGAAAACTGAATACCTCCACTGGATGCGCGCTTAACTAGGAACGAGTTTTGGGGACCTGTATCTCAGGGGTCAGCGCCTCCGTATTGTAGACCCAAGAGTCTTCCACGATGTTTAATCCACGTGGAATTGGAGCAAGCATACGAACGATCTCCCAGATTAAATCAGCAGAAACTTGACTTGAGTGGTGTGCCATCGTGAATAATTCTTGTGCAGTTGAGGTGTCTATCAAGATGTCCCAACTGGGAAATTTCAAATATTCAGTTAGAGTGCGTCACGTGGAACTCTCTAACTGCTAAGGCATAACGCGCGGCGTAGCGAACTGGATGCCTGACTCAAGGACTCTTAGTTGGCTGATCGCAGCCTCACCAAACAAGACTTGTTTCTTAATTTAGAATTCATGCGTGTGCCTGCCCTGAACAATGACTTCATGCGGATTCACCATTGATTGAAGAGCTGGCTGGACTCTTTCAAAAAGTCCTCAATCGCCAACCTAGACATGACATACCTTCTCTTTTACTCAGCGTTTCTGGTGCTCATAATTACCACTTGCAAGTTGCCCCTCATGTTCAGCTTCACATTACTCTAATTGCCCATATAGTTCTATATCTCACTCGTTCAATGTGGATTCGACATCTGCCTGCCCTACCAGGCTCATCATTTATTTATTCTCGACTGCCGTCCAATTTTGTATCGGATATGGAGAATGGCCTATCGTCCCCCGAATTTGATCTATCCTCAAATATTGCAGCTGGTGACACCAGAAGAGGCCTTGATGACAACAGTAAGAGAGAGATACAGGGTATCATGAAGAGTCGGCGTGTAAACTTTGATGAAGCTAGGAGGATATTTACTGAAGGATGTTTTGCAAAAAATGATATCAGCTCTGATGGTCTACCGCGAGATCCCAAATTCGTCTGCTTCTCATAACACAATATCGATTCCCAACAATATTTAACAAGCTCCATATAACAGACGCTTTACACATAGCGCCAATACCATGCGCGGCTACCAATTCCGAAAGGCCACTGAGACACAAGTGTAGTTCGATCTTTCTACCGGGTTCTAGAGAGATAAATCAAGTGGTCCATGAACTACGATTCAGCACTTACACTTAGTCAGGACAAGTAAATAACCAACTTACAACCTGCATGCGTCGGTGAAAGCCTATCACAAGACTTCTAAGGGTACTTTTTTTTATGCGAGACAAAGGCCGCTCTAAACATTTCTAGCTATTTACAAATTTCTTATATACGATCGCGATATTTTTGAATTTACGGGCGCTTGAAATTTCAGTGCCAGTTACATGAAAGACCAACATAGGCTAGTTTATAGGTGAAATATCAAGCTGGGGGCTGAAATTCACGAATGCAAACCATTAACATAGATGAACATGCTTCCCATAAGAGGAACTTAAAAAGTGAGCACCAAACATGTGACTTTAATCCTGTAGCCCCGACTTTGATTCGCTTGAGTTCGGTTACGGTATCGCGGATTCACTCACCAGAGTGAGAGAGAGATGTATTTATTGTACTGCTCCAATCATGGACCACCTAGCACTTTGGGCTCCTATATAGCCCAAACTAGTGTTATGAGCTAGGCCCGGTTGTTTATTTGTTTGATTACTATTCGTATCAGGCATGTGCCCCACACCCAATAGGCGTGATAAGGGTATATGATCTATACAGACTCACTACTACCTACGTGCATGGCTTTACTTGCTAAAGAAACCATAATAAATAAACATAAGAAAGCAATACAGTGTGTCCAAACAAAAGCGCCCTGTCCTATTTCTCCCAGCAATTGACTTCTAAAACAACCACTGATACCCCTAGGCGAGCTTATGACTCTCCATCTACGTCCTTTTCCCTATAAATTCTCGTTACAGCTGCGAATTTGATAAAAATTTCCCAGCCTTTTCCTCATAGCATCTCAATTACTCTCGGGGGAGGTTCCTGTTTAATGCCTCTCCACTGTTTATTAATTCATTTTATTGTCCTGTCTGAGTCTATGATTATGTTGGAAATGCAGGTCCTCTCTGCCTACAGGCCAAGGATACCTATAACAGTAGTATATCCCCTCCTATGCCTCCCATATAGCTCCCCTCAAACAGTACCACCCCTCACAAGTTCTCATGCCTCTCCACTATCGTAGGGCTGGTTTCATTCTGCAAAGTGCCAAGGGCGTCTTTCTCGACCGCACTCACATTTGGCTTCGAAATTTTCATGCTTGAATCTTTCATGGTATTTGGTGAAGTCGCCGTGTCCAGTCCTAGCTGCAATCAGCCTATGGTAGGCCCATCTCGGTAGAGCAAGTTCTGGAGGTCGCTTCCTAGTCATCATAAGATCTAAGTCCGTATAGTACTTTGGCGCATTTTTTTGCCACCATGCTACTACTAGTCCCTCCGTGCGCTCCTTGACAAATCTGTGGAGTGATGCAAACATAAATTTTATTCTACGGGGCACCTCCATGGGGAGTGCCTCATTGGTCACCTCATTTGGGACTTTAATTAGGGCGGCTTTGGCAAGCTTGTCTGCCATCTCATTTCCCTCGATCCCTGAGTGCCCTGGTATCCACCGAATTTCCACTGACCGATGTTGCTGACAGTCCTTGACAAATTTGTCGACTATTCCCTGGAAAGGTCTAGACCTACCACTGCGTAAGGCCTGGACAGCTTGTAAACTATCTAAGAGTACCTTGATTGAGTTGCTGCCAGCCACCAGTAGAGCTGCTTCGAGGGCTTTGTGGGCTCTCAAGAGTTCCGCGTCATAAGTCTGTGCACCAAGCAAAGGGCCTGCGCCGCTCCCAATTATTTTTCGTCCTCTGAATAGTTTATAGCCCCATGCAGATTTTGCCAGCCCGCAGTATGAGCCATCTGGGTACGCACATATAGTGTCGGCTAGCAAGTGCTCTATCCATTGTTTGGCTAGAGTGGCTTCAGACTCTCTGTCTAGCGTCACTGGTTGGTAGCTGCGATCCGATGCTGGGTAGAAAAGTCTTCCGGACTCCACAGCGAGCGGTACGTTCTGAATGCTGGTCTGCAAACGTGTCAGGTAGCGCTCTGGATTTTTGAAATATCGGTTCTTCTGTCCTGCGCAGAGTCCTAGGCGGTTTATGGTTTCCTTTGGTCTTTCTTGGGATCTGGCTACCAGAGGATGCCACAAGTCCATTCGTTGAATTCGCGCCGCAGCTCTCAATTGCCTTTGCTGAAGGATGATTGCTGCAGAGGAGATACCAGACTCTCTGCAGAGAACCTTGTTCGGGGTAGTTCGCCATGCCGGTAGTGCTGCCCGGATTGCCTTTATAATCGTACTGTCCAAGAGATCAGTATGCCAGCCGATTCCCGCGCTCACTTTCTTGCTCCGATTAGTGGTGACCCGGGTCAAGCCCGGCCACCATGCTTCGGCTCCATATATCGCTGTATTTATGATACATGCCTGTACTGTCTTGATCATTGGTTGCGGGCCTGCGCACCGTTTAATGCACTTTATTCACCGTATAAACTGCGTTAGTCTTTGAGATTTCCCACACCACTCTGGCACATGCTGCTTGAAGCTGAGTAAGGAGTCTATTTATACCCCAAGCCAGTTGATATGCGGGGAAGGTATTATCTTGTTACCTTGAATCTGAATAGCTAAGCCTGTGGTGTCCAACCTTTTCTTAGGACACCCTCCAATTATTCATAGGTCAGAATTCGACGGGTCAAAACTTGTTTCATGCTCGTTTGCAACCCGCAAAAGCTTCTCCACTTCTACTTGAATATTTTCCACCGCTTCAGCTGTTGTGCTTCCAGTGGTGAGAATGGCGATGTCGTCGGCGTACCCAAACTTGTTGACCTCGCTCCCATTTTTGAATAGAATGGAAATGTACAGGAGAAATAGTAGTGGTGATAGTGGTGAGCCTTGCGGGACCCCACACTCCACGACTTTGTCTCGGGTCATTCCATCCTGGTATCATACTCGTATCCTTCGTCGGGTCAAAAATGACTCGACCCATCGGCATAATAGCCTGGGCCACCCTTGGTTTCTCATTCGGTGTAACAGCCGTTTGTGGAGAACTGCATCAAATATGCCCTGCACGTCAAGGGCAATCATTGCTGTGACCTTGTTGTTCCGCATTGCCGCCTCTGCATCATGTATGACACATGAAACAAGGTCGACTGCTGAGCGTCCTGGGAGTGCGGCGAAAAGCTGTTGAGGTACAACACGATGTTCGATTGCTAGCCATGCCATTCTTTTGGCTAATATTCGTTCTAGCCCTTTGCCCAAGCAAGAGAGAAGGGAGATCGGTCGCATTCCTTTAGCTGTTGCTAGGTCCCGTCCTGGTTTCGGAAGCATGATGATTTCTGCTACTCGGAATATGGTAGGAAAATGTCCATGCTCTAAACACGCTTGGAAGATGTTATTTACCTGCCGCCCAATGGCTGGCCAGCATTCTCTCAGCAGTCGCACTGTTATCTTGTCTGAACCTGGGGACTTGTTGCCTGAGCCAATAGTACTTGTCGTTACATCCTCTAGTTATATTGTCGCATTCCAGGGATCGACTCTATTTGTTCGGATTCCCACGAGGGGAGATCGTGGGCCGCGTCAAATTTGGTGAGAAGAGAGTCCCTTAGAGCTTCTGCTCGTTTTAGTGGGTCTGATGTCCACGTATCCTTCACGATTTAAAGGGGGGGAGGATCTTGGCCTATCTTGGGTTTTGTCCACTGCATCAATTTGAAGACCTTGTGAGTCTGTTGTAGCATTCTCAACCTGCTTCTTCCAGTGATCTCTATTTGCCGCTCTTACCGCATGCTTAAACCTTTTCCGGACTTCTGCCCCGCTGTCTGGGCAGCTTCTAGCTTCATGGTACTCGCGGTGCTTAAGTTTGCAGTCCTCATTCCACCACGGAGCTGTGCTTCCGCGCACTCTTGCAGGGTTGTGACCTACTGCTAAGCGTGCGTCACCCAAGGCCTCCATCAAGATTGATAGCTGGCATTCAATGTCGTTAACGCTGTTCAGAGGGCCTGGTCTGACCCACTCTTTGACATACTGGGCAAACTTGGCGAGGTCTTGATTGCGTAGCCGCAGTTCCTGGCTTATTCAAGACATATCGGGCTTTCGTCTCGCTTCAACGGACCCAACAATAGTCATATGGTCTGAGGTACAGTTATACTCGTGTGATACAAGTGCCTCTGCTGTGACGTTGCTCCATACAAGATCCAACACATTTCCATCCCTGTGTGTAGGTACGCCGATAGTGGTAAGTAAATGCATATCCTGAGCTATAGCCCATTCCGTTATTTGGTCACTATTACCGTACTGACGACTAGCCTGTGGTTGCCAGTGCCTTGCGACGGCGTTGAAGTCCCCTCCTACAACTGCAGGACCTGAGGGGCACCATCTAAGCAAGGGATCAAGGGTATCATTAAGTTCCGGTGCACGATATACATTAACAAACGTCACCCCGCAGGCTTTCACATAGCAGTAATCGCCGCTTTGGTCCTGGGATGAAGGAAATATTCGCGTTGCCGATAAACATTTGCGGGCGAAGCTGATTGCCCGCGAGTGTGTCCTAGCTACTCCCATCGGCTTGTAACTGTTGAGGCCCGGGTGACTTTTTGTGATAAGTCCTCCATTCGTCTGCATTGTCTATGGTTCCTGTACCATAACAATGTGTGCTCCAGCCTCCCATTCCTGCTGAAGTGCGATATCCATATTCTCTCCGCCCTTTCCCACGTTCACTTGGTGAAATAGAAGGGTGTGTTGTTGTTCGGTGTGGTTATGATTTGTGGTCGTACAACTCATTAATTTTGCATCGTGTCTTCCGGGGTGAACACGACTTCTGGGGCCTTACCCTTTTTCTCCGATTCTGCTAGTGCAGCCTGAAAGTCACGATATCCATTTCCTCAAATAACTCTTAATTCCGCTGGTGTGCGGGGGTGGAATATT